AAATAGATAAAAATAAATCTGTTTTTGGGGGGACTGAGATAGCCATAACCCCGTTCCAACCACTGCCTCTTATAAGAGTCATATAAGTCTTTCCACTTCATGAGAGGACCTGCCCTAATTATTCATAAGGCTGCAGGATGTAAAAATGTTAGCTCTAAAAGCAATCACAGATTGAAATCTGAACTTTATTGAAGTGGGACTTGTTAGCTTTCAACTGGACAGCATGCTCATTTCATATATATACAAATTCAAACTCTTTTATGTTTACATTTCTGGGAGGGGAAAACTGCATACACACCATTGTAGCTGGGTATTTACTTTACATCTTTTTGCAGCCATTAAGTTGAAACAGCTGGTTTTAATCATAGTTTCCAGGAAATGATCCCCAATAACTAGATCACTTGCTTTTCTTCTCTTTCTGAATGAGCTAACTACAATGACTCATCTCTCCTCTTGCTGAATGTTCTTTTTGTCATGAAAAGAACTAAAGATCCCTTGGAAAAAAAAAAAAAAGAGGAGGAAAGAACTTCTATTAAGTGAGTAAAATAGGCACTTCTACAGTCATGCACAATACAGTCTTCTGTATGTTTACTGGATGCAATACAGAATTTATCTTTAGGACTGCATCTTAAATGTGTGTTATTTGAAGTTTTTCTACACTGTAAAGGGGAGAGCTAACCAAGACAAATAATAGATCTTTAATTTAAATGATTTATACATACTGTAGCTTCTCTAATACAGATTAGAATGTTGAATTATCTTCACAAACAAATTATTTTATGTATAACTCAGTAAAGACACATATTTGGTTAATGATATTTAAGTAGGTCTTAACTGAATAAGCAACTAAATGTTTGGAATGGTATATAGCTGACTGCTGTACTGGTAGCAAGATCTAGTATTTTAGCGTATTGCCTTATGAATATTTAGGACAGGAAAATAACTTGTAACTGGCTCAGTGACAGGGGGAACCAGTTTATACAGCCTGATCTAATAATGATAGCATTTGTACAAAGGCCATAATGTAAAAATATACTGCAAGTACAGTTTCTCAGCAGCTGCCAAATGGTTATTGCTGAACTTCAGAAACCAATGATATAGGCAATATTCCAGATGTTTCATCAGAGATCTTGTATGCTGCTACACATTAGCTGCCAGTTTTGATTATTGGTCATCTAGTTTACAATAAGAGAGGACTAGATTCATCCTTGCACCTCCAGCAGGTACACTACACAGCTAAAGCTTACAGCTTCAGCCAGCTGTCGGACTCAAGTCCTAAGGTGTCAGGCCTAGCCCAAGGAACTCCAAGAGACAATGCAAAATCAGTTCAGCTATGTTT